GGTATAGCTCAAGTGCAGAGCACCTGCCTAGCACACTCAAGGCCCAGAGTTCAAGTCCCAGGATGGCTAAAGTAAAAGTCTTACTTCACCCCTCTGTGTAAGTCCATTTGCAGTGCAGTAACAGAATACAGGAGGAAGCATTTCTTTTGGCTCAAATGTTTAGGGGTTTCAGCCCATCCAGATGGGGAGGGGATAGCGGAATAGAACAGCTCACATGGGGAGGGAATAGCAGAATAGAAAAACAGCTCACATGGGGAGGGGATAGCGGAATAGAACAGCTCACATTAAGGTGGCCAGGAAGCAGAGAGACCGACAGACAGACAGACAGGGAGGGGGGGCTTTCTTTTTCTCAGCCCCTAGGCTCATGAGATGGTACTACCTGCATTTAGGGAGGGGGTGGATTTTAACCCCTAGTACCTGGAGACCCCTCACAGATCCCTCCAGAGTCTTGATTCACTGATCTGCTGCTTGTTGATTCAACCAAGTTGATGACCCCCTTTAGCCTTCACATCTCCCACACAGAACCAATAGAAGAGGAATGTCCTCAGGTGAAATGAGAGGGAGGTTCTGAGGCTCAGCACCCCAGAGCCAGGCCCTGTCTGGGTGGTTTGAAGGCCTAGGCTCCATGCTGAGCACCTGAGTAGGGCTCCATGCTGAGCACCTGAGTAGTGCTCCAGCAGCCCTGGAGCCCGTTCTGGGTGGCCAGCACATACACACCCAGGCCTGTCCATCTTTCGTAGTCTCCTCTGTCTGCATTAGCGGTCTAGGCGCTCTGCAGTTTGATGGGCAGGGGGGTTGTTTGGTGATCTGGGGTTGCCTTGACCGGGAGAGGGTCCCTCCCAAGACCCACTACAATGCGCTGCCTTGCACAGCCCTCCGGCACAGACTTTCCAGTTGCTTTTCCTGTTTCCTTGATAGCTGATAGTTTGAAGAGAGGTCATTGCCAGCATAGGCCTACAGGAACCCTTGCTTAGCTAGAATCTTAGGTGAACCCCCTCAGCCTGAGTGCCTCCAGATTGCAGATGGAGTCAAACACTTAGTGTACCTTGGAGGAATTCCACTTCCTGATTTGGCAAATGGGGAAACTGAGACCCTAGTCATTGAATGCACCCAGTGGGAGGGCCACTGCTATGTGAGCAAGCCTGGAATCTGAGCGTGTTAGGTGCAGAAGTCTGAGAGACAAGCCCGCCTGACGCCTGAACGAGCCTGAGCTTCAGCCCTTGGGTTACAGCTTGTGTTTGTCCCTAGGCAGTTCCCTGGGGCTTGTTCCCGAGTTTCTGCCCAAGGTGTGGCCCTGCTGAGTGGACAAGACTGAAAGTGCCAGGGGTCTCCTTAGGGAACAGGCTGCAGGGCTGATCCTGCATAGAGAAGTCCTGTGCCCTGGGACCACAGGGCGGGGAAGGGGCCCTAGCCACAAGGACTGGGCAGTGACAGGGCAACTCACAGGGCTGTCCTGAGGGTCACCACAGAAAGACAGAGGGAGTCAGGACACTTGTAGATGGGAGAACACCAGGATCCATGGCCCCCTAATGCCCACACGTCACGATCCTGGCTTAAGTGGCTCTGTGTGACTTATGCCCCGTCCTCCCGTCCACTCGCCTCTCCCGCTCACCAGGCACCTGCGTTTCCTAGCGGCCATGCTGTTGCCTTATGCATTGCTTTTGGCTGAGCAGCTCCTCATTGTTCACCGGTGCACTCCTGTTCATCCTTCAAGACCCAATACAACTTTCCAGCTGGAAGATGTTTTCCCCGATCCCCTGAAGGCTGCAAAGATGCCTTGGATGAGGCTTCTGTTGGGAAGGTCCTATCACGTTCCACTTAGCTACTTCTAGAATCCTGGCCACTCCCATTTTTTGGGTATCTCTCTCTCTCTTTAAAAAAAAAATCCTTTTCAACTCTTTTTTTAAAAAAAGTTTTAAATATATATATTTTTTGTAAAGAAACTGTGCAGAGGGATTACAGTTACATGAACAAGGTAATGTCCATTTCCTGTGGAGCATTGTTACCCCTCCTTTGTTTTTCCCCTACCATCCCTTCCCGCCCCACCTCCCAGCTCCTCCCTCCCCCACCATCTCTTGTCCCAGGCCTCACACGCACTATTTTATGTCATTCTCGCAGTAACCACATGGGGTGTATTGTCAGAGCCCCACTTTGCAGCGCATGCCCTAAAGCTCAGAGAAGTGGCCTGACTTGCTCAAGACAAGCAAGGATGACAGGGCTCGGATTAGAGCCCAGATCTGTTTGACCCAATTTCTGCATCCCTCCATCTCCTGGTCCCTGGCTCCCTCCTGTAGGTCCTGTAGGGCCTTATAGGGGGACGATGGCCTGATTGCCATGGGCTGGGCGGGAGGAGGAGGAGTGGGGGGAGGAGGGGCCGGGGGCCAGGTTTCCTCTGAGTGGAGAGATGGAGTCAATGACCTCTTTGCCTCTGGTTGAGGGCTTTCTCTCCACCCTCCATTCCATTCCAAGAGCCTGTGGCTGCCTGGGGGACAGGCCTGTGGGACTCCAGGCTGAGCAGGTGGCATGGTGACAAACACCACGGCAACAGGCCTCCTTCCTTGGGCCCCAGATGGGAGGGAGGACCTGAGAACACGCCGGGTGAGTGCTGAGGCCTCACAGTAGGATGTGGAGAGGTGGCTCCCTGTGGACCTGGGGCCCTCCCATGAGGTCCCCTGCCAGCCAGGCAAATGCCACTTCCACCCTCCACCCTGAATGAATGGCTGCTTCTGGCCTCCCAGGAGACTGTCGTCTGCATCCAGGTACAAATGCCACCCCCTTCCCACCCCCCACCCCTGGCAGCAGGGAGGAAGGAAGAGGGAACTCAAGAGGAGGCGGCACAGGGTTGCCAAGCAAGGTAGTAGCTGGGACAGCTGGGACAAAGCCTTAGTTGTATCAAGGCCACCCAGAGCTCTGAGCAGGCCTGGCATCTTGCCTGCTACCAGGGAACCTGGGCCTGGAGCTCTTCCTGGGCTTTACTTGAGATGGCTTGACAGAGGCCCACCTGGGAGGTGTATCTTTCCTCTACTGGGAAGGCCTCGTGAAGGCACAGCCTCCTTCCTGCAGCCTCCCTAAAGCCAGGAGGGAGGGCCATGATGGAAGAGGGCCACTGAGGCCAGGGAGAAGGATGAGCAGGCAGCCCTGCAGACATGTGAGCACAGAGCCTGTTCACAGCTATCGTCCGGGCACACAGAAGCACCCCTCGGGGTCACCTGACCACAGAGACGTTTAACTAGTGGCAAACAATCCTTGAATCCTCCCCCTCTGCCCCCCCCCGCCCTGTACCCAGGAGGCTGTGAGCCATTTGTGGCATCCTACCCAGGTATGAGAGGCTTTGCTGGCCCCACTCCCATGCCTGCCCACAGCCCCTGCTGTGGAGTTGGCACTGTTGTTCCCGGACACCCCTCTCCCCTCCTTACCACAGGCCCAGCACTGACAAGCTGGAGCAGCAGCTCAGGTGACAGAGGTGGTGTCAGCGCGGCACCCAACACCTCCAGGTGGACAATGCTGGCTGTGTCCAGGTCCTCCAGAGGAACAGGCTGCATTCTGTGTCTCAGCCAGGAAACAGGCCATCTGAGCAGTGCCTTTGTCCCCTCAGGAGGGAGGACCTGGCCCCTGGGAGGCCAGGGAAGGCCGGGATGGGGGCCCAGCCCCAGCCCCTTCGGCAGATCTGGCCCTCCACACACCTGGGGAGTGACTTGAGCCCCAACCCAGCCTCTGGGGACTAACCACAGCACTTCCTCATAGGGTTGTTGGGAGGAGTCCGTGACATAATGTACGTAACGTGTGTGGCACGGGGTCTGCTGTGCAGTGGGGTTCGGCGAACGCATAAATGCTTCTCTCCCAGCATGGGGCTTGGGAGGGGGGCGGGAGGGGTGCCAGGACACAGCATCTGCAGCCAAGCTTCTAGAACCCAGGCTACCATCTGTGGTCCCTGATAGGAGCAGGGAAGGAGAAGGCAGGCTGTCTCAGGAGCTGGCTGGGGACCACCAGGCCCTGGCAAAGAGCCCAGTCTCTACCTCTCCCATAGCCCTTTCCCCTCCCCCAGCCGCAACCCAGCCTGGCATCCCTCAGGTCCCGGCCCCCACCCAGGAAAGAAGCCAAAGGAGCCAGTGGCATGAGCTGACCCAACCACTTAAGCATGGCTATTTGCAGCTAGGGCCCCAGCAGCAAGTTAGGAGGGCTTCTGCTCCCTTGGTCCTCATCCCTGTCGGCTTTGTTGCCTGTGCCCTACGTTCTTGGAATGTACCAGAATCTGCATGTATGTCTGCATTATGCGTGTGCCTGCGCGCAGCACGGGGCAAGGGGGCCCGGCTGCATGTTCTGCCTCGTGGCCAGAGGGGCTTGAGCACGTCTGCAGTCATGTGCTGCACATCCTGGAATGGCGGGGCATGTACCTCTCATGTTCCTGTGTGTCTCCGTGTCTCTACACGTGTGCTGGTATGTTGGTCTGTCTTGTCTCCCCTGTAGACAGGAAGTCCTGAGCCACGCGTCCCCCCCGCCCCCCTGGGAAGGTGATGCACCGTGAAGCCAAGCCACTTTGATCTGGGGGTCCTGGTCCTGCTCCGGGCGTCCTCCAGCCTGCAGCCCCAGCCGAGGAGGGAGGACTGGACGGCGGGAGGTGGGGGTCTGAGGGGCAGGGACCCCGGGAGAAGCAGAAGACCAGCGGCCCTGTGACTGTGGGCGGAGCCTTTGCCCACCCCCCGCCCTCCTTTCCCGGAGCACCTTCCGTCATCTGGGGTCAGACTGGACTGATGACCTCCAGCTATCCCCGAGACTCCTGACAACCCTGATTTTAAGTCAGGTGGCGAGAGCCCGTGTACCAGCCCCGCCAAGTCCATTGAAGGCCGCCGTGACCAGGCTTGGCCAGACTCTCACTTGGTCTGGGGTGTCCTGCTGAAGGGCCAGAGGAGAAGCCATGCCAGGCAGCGGCCCCAGCGAGAGGATGACATGGCCCGGCCCGGCCCTCCCTGCGCCTCCCCCAACTCGCCCTCTTTCCTCAGCCCCGGGGACACCGCCCATCCCACCCCTCACCCGGACCCGCAGCCTCATGGCCATGTCCTTGCCGGGGAGCAGACGGGCCTCCGCTGGATCCCGCAGGTGAGTCTCCCCTGTGGCTCAGATCCTTGGGCTCTGGGGTGGGAGGGAGGGCAGGCCCCCATGTCTTACCTGCTAATGACTTGCAAATCACACCCTTAGTTTTCCCATCTTTAAAATGGGCTTGCTAAACTCACCTGCCCCAGGAAGTAGGGAGGGTCCAATAATATGGTTGTTAGGATAAACCAGTGGGCTCCCCCCCCAGCCTCCCTGATCCTCACCCCCATGGGCTTCTCCTCGGTCCCTACGCTTCCCCTCCTTCCTTGGGCTTGGGGGTGGCCAGCCTGTAGGAAGGGCGGACAGAGCCTGTGTTCTTGCATCTGGGGATCCGGGCTGGCCAGTCTCCTGCTTTCCATCTTGATTCCCACTGTCTGTTCTTCACCCTTGTCTGTGCATCCCCTCTCCGCCTGCTTCTCTCCCCTACCTCGTGGCGACCCCCAGCGGGGGCACTTTGGGCCGCAGCGGCCTGGCAGTGTTCGCCCAGTGCCCACAGCTGCCCGCCAGCCAGAATGAGCAGCTGCCTCTTCTCCCCGCCTCCAGGCGCACCTCTCCACCTGTGAGCGTGCGAGACGCCTACGGCACCTCTTCCCTCAGCAGCAGCAGCAACTCCGGCTCCTGCAAGGGCAGCGACAGCAGCCCGACACCCAGGTAACCAGCCCTCCCTCCTTCCTGGCCCTGGCCCTGGCCTGGCTGCCGGGGAGCCTGGTGCCCAGGGGAGGAGGGAGCAGCATGGTGCCTGACCATCCTGACTTGGCGCACATTCAATTTCTATGTCACCTGGAGTGAGTCCCTTCTCCCTTCTGAGCCTCAGTTTATGTCTATTAGATGGATGTCGATGTCTAGCTGTTCACAAGCAAATGTCGTGGCTTAGACAAACCAGGGGTGGGGGTGGGGATGCTTTCTGTATAAGGAGTCAGAGGCAGGCAATTCTCTAGCCTATCAGAGGTCTCCCCTCTTCCTACCCTACCATCCTTGCTAACAGCTTTTGTCCTTATCACAAGATGGCTGCTGAACCACCAGCCACCAGGTCATCCCTCCAGGAAGGAAAATGATTACAAAGACCAAAGCCCCTATAAGGGGCTCTTTTTCTCTGAGCCAGGTACACACTCCCCAGGAAATTCCACCTGCATCTTGCTGGCTGGCACTGGATCATGTGACTATCTAGCTTCTAGCCAGTTAATGCAGACAGAGAGTTTGTATTTTCCTCCTATATGGTGTCACCCCAAACAAAGCTGGGGTTCTGCTGGTGAAGAAGGCAACGTGGATGTGACATTGTCAGTCTGTTCTTCTCAGGGGCTGCTGTGAGGGTGGCAGAGGTGGCGTTGGTTTGGAAAGGAAAGTATCCTACCAAGGCAGCATGAGCTGAGTTGTGGTGTTGGATCCAGTGGACCTAGACCTGAAATGCAAGGTCAGGTTGGAGGAGTGGGGAAAGGGGAGTTGCAGGGTCCCTGAAGAGACAAAGTGAGAGCAAGAATGGTGGCATTGTCCTTTTCCCCAGTGCTGAAATACAAAGTAGATGAGAGGAAAATGTGGAGACTGTCAGGGCTTTGGATTTAGCTGAGGGCCACTTCCTGTCTCTCAGGGCGACTTCCCATCTCTGAGGGCCACTTCCTGTTTCTAGGGGTAAAAGAAAGTGAATAACCTGGAGTTCCGGAGGTGAGATTGTGTCAGTACCTGCTGGCCACCTGCACATACTCCGTGGCCAGGCGCTGCCCTTTGATCTGACAAGAAGGTTATGAGCAAGAGAAGATGAGAAAGTGCCGGCCTGCATCTCCATAGTCAGAGCACTCTCAGGAAAGATTTCCTGCCCCTCTCAGCCAAGGGGATGTCATCTGACAGCAGTGATGGCTGGAGCTGCTGCAGCCTCAGTTCTTAGGTCATGAATGATAGAGGACAGGCAATTGTAGCATCCCTGGTATTCTGCCCATAACCTACCCCAGAGCCTGGGGGACACAAGAAGGCCATGATAACTTACATTCTGAAAAGCATTCAATCAGCTTTTCATTAGCAGTGGGCTTTTGAAACACATCTCATACCTAGAAACCTTTGGCCAGTCTCCACCCCTGGGCTGAGCCTGGCTTCTGTGGGACTGCCCTGCCTCCGGCGCCACAGCTGCCTGCCAGCTGGCTCTGTTAGGGCCTCACTGCAAACAGCCAGGCTTTTCAGGGTGTAACTGAGACCCTTGCAGTATAGCAGTGTGCAGGGGGGTGTGTATTTATGTGTGCATGTAGAGTGTGGGGTTTGAAGGGCCTGGCTGAGTTTTTATGCTACAGGTTAGCATGCTACTACTTGAGCCACAGCTCCCCTTCTGGCTTTTTGATGGTGAATTGTAGATAAGAGTCTCATGGGCTTTCCTGCCTGGGCTGGCTTCAAAACCATGATCCTTAGATCTCAGCCTCCTGAGTAGCTAGGATTACAGGCGTGAGGCACTGGTGCCCAGCATTTTTCTGTTTTAAATATACATATATATATATGTTAATTACATATGCAAGTGCATATTTTATTAATCTTGCATATAAATATATAATATTCAAGTGTATTTATAAAAATATATGAAGATCTATATTATAACTATACAATTGTATACCAATTGTGTAATTTGATATTATAATATTTTAAGAAAGTCAAAGCTAATGGCTAAAAGTGTATATTCAATGTTAGATTGGGAAACAATATTCATGGAAACCAGAGACACACCCCTGGGCTTGTACTCAGAGCTGCTTTTTTACTCAGAAAAGTTCAAGCACTGGCTTTCCTGTAGCCCTTGGTTCTTTCTGGTTTAAGTAATCTTGTCCCCTGCACCACCACCAGCTACCTGGCCCCACTGCAGACTGGGGAAGAGATCCCTTAACTTGTCACATATCTGTGCCCTCTAGCCACAGCCCTCGTGGGCTAGCTTAGAGCTACTGTGTGGCTTGCTTCTCTTTTGGAAAAAGATACCTTAGAATAGACAGGAAAGCCCAAATGCCCGGCCTAGGCCACCCTTTACCCCTTGCCCAGAAAGGGACATGACTTAGCTTGAGTTAAAACCCAGGGCCGTCAAAGTAAGTACACAGAAGAAAATCATTTCTCTCCAGCTTTACATTTTAATTCAAGTTCTCTTCTACAGTTTATGATCTACAAATATTTGTTCTTTGCTAAATATCATGCAGCTTCTACAAAGCTTTTTTTTTTTTTTGGCCAGTCTTGGAGCTTGAACTCAGGGGCTTGGGTGATGGTCTAGAGCCTCTTTTGCTTAAGGCCAGCGCTCTACCACTTGAGCCACAGCACCACTTCTAGCTTTTTCTGAGTAGTTTATTGGAGATAAGAGCCTCACAGGCTTTCCTGCCCAGGCTGGCTTTGACCCGTGATCCTCAGATCTCAGCCTCCTGAGTATCTACAAAGCTTTTGAAAATGTCCCTAATTTGGCTGTTTCTGAAAATGAACCTGCCAGGGCCTGTCATCGCTGACCCCACCAAGTATCAGGCTTCCCTAGGCCTGGGTGCCATCTTCCTCTGGAGCAGAACAGGGCACCCGCAGGCCAGAGTCTCTAGTGCGTGGGACCATGCCTAGTGTTTGAAGCCAAGATCTAAGCAGTCCTCTCAAGGAATGGAAGAGCCAGCAGCCAGGAAGCTGTGGGTGGGGCCACCTGTCCCATAGTCTGTTGTGGAATCGGGGTGCTGGAAAGCCTGTCCCTCTACACACAGCACTCAGGTAGAGCCTCCTTCTCCCCACTGGGTGGGTCAGGATTGCTGGGAGCAGAGCTCACCCAGCTTGCTGCCACCCAGGGGACCTGGTTGACAGGAGCCCCAGAAGCTGTCTCTGTGTGTGCTCACAGCTGTCCCAGAGGGTGTGTGTGTGTGTGTGTGTGTGTGCGTGCATGGACACAGGCTAGTGTTCTGGCCCAGGGGGTTGCTCACAATGGTGGCAGGAAGATGATGAGCCACAGGTGTGTGTGCACACCTACAGGTGTGCAGGTATAGACTGGGAATCCACACTCCTTGTGTGTGTGTTGTGTGTGTACACGTGCATGGGTGCACATGTATGCTACGTGCACACACATGCACACATGCAGGCATAATGCATACCCTATAGGAAAGTGTGTGAGTGTATAAGGAGACCCTGTCCCTGCACACACACACATCTGCTGTCTCCACCCCTGGGCCATGCAAGTTCTTAGCTTTGGGGAGGAGTGGCCATGTCCCCTCCACCTCCAACCCCTACTCTGAGCCTCCCTCCCTGCCTCCAGCCCACACCCTCATCCGTGGTCTGAGGACCAGGGGCCTGGCTCTGAGTGCTACTGGGACTGGCTGACAGTTCAGGGGACCGAACCTCTCTGAAGCCACGGTCCCTCTGCAAGGCTTTCCTTCACCCAGCATTGTGGCCAGGATGGGGCAGATGGCTCCAGGCAAGCGCTTTGCAGGTGTAGGGCTCACATGTGTGCCTAGGATGTCTCCTTCCCTCACCAGAGGAGCCTTGTGTCCCTCACCATGGGGTCTACTCCGAAGAGCACCCCTAAAAGCCACCTGTCCACATGTGGCCCTGTACAGAAGGCCTGGCTTGGAGCCATCCGGTGCTCGTGGACAGAGAAGATGGCTAGGCTGGGTCCTCTGCTCCCTGGGGAGCAGCCCCTGTGCCCTGCCTGCCTCCATCCCCACCCGCCTGACGGGCGTCCACTTGCAGGCGTTCCATGAAGTACACGCTCTGCAGCGACAACCACGGCATCAAGCCCCCCACCCCGGAGCAGTACCTGACGCCGCTGCAACAGAAGGAGGTGTGCATCCGGCACCTGAAAGCCCGGCTCAAGGACACACAGGACCGGCTCCAGGACCGGTGAGCAGCCCAGCCAGAGTACGCAACTGGACACATTGTCATGTAGTCCCAGGACTTTCTGGGCCATTATCACTCACTGATTCTGTCATTACTCTCATCCCCACCCACGAGGGGCCTTACTCCCCTGATACCTGCCCTCCATTTCTCTTCATCCACCCTCTCAATGGCAGCCTTTGACCTTTCTGTCTCTACTGCCCCGTCACTCTGGTCATGTCGTAATGCCCCATCCGTGACCACATATTCTGTGACCAGAGCAAGTTTGGATTTGCCCTGGTTTCCAAGTGCAGGAGCGTTCCCACGTTCTTCTCTCCCTTTTTCCCTCAGAGCTTCCATTTCTGTTTCTATTTCCTGTCATTTTCCTGAAGATGGCTGGACTCCGCGTGGTCTTCTACACTAATGTCCCTTGGGGCCAAGTATCCCGTCTCTCCACTTCTTGTCTGGGTCAGCCCAGTGGCTCCCAGCAGACCGTAGCCTGGGTGGTTTGGCAGGATGGCCTGCCGTGGGCACTCCCTCACCTTGTCCCTGCTCACCCTGCCTGTCACCCTGGCAAGACCCTGAGTGGTCCTCCGGGCCTCCCTGCCTTGCTCTGGCATCCTCTCCCTCCCGAGCCTGCCTTCCCCTCTCAGGCAGATGCCAGGTGCTTTGCCAGCTCTGTGCTTCCGGGTGCTGTGTCTCTGCTGCAGCTCCCTCTGCCTGCAAACTCATCTTTCACAACACATTTCAAATGGAATGTCCTGTGGGCTGTGCGGCCTGAGCAGGGCTGGGAGCCAATGCTGGCTAGTCTAGGTAGGGAGAGGCAAGGCACAACGCAGGCCAGCATGCTATGGAGTGGGCTTCCTGAGTCCAGTTCCTGGAAGTCTGAGTGACAAGTCAGTGGTGCCTGGGTGGCGACAGTCATAGCTGAACTCATAAATCCCCACCATGAAGATGGGCATGGTCAGTAGCTCACACCTCTAATCCTAGCTATTCAAGAGGCTGGGATCGGAGGCTTCCAGTTCAAAGCCAGCATAGACAGGAAAGTTCAAGAGATTCTTATCTCCAATTAACCACCAAAAAGCCAGAAGTGGAGCTGTGGCTCAAGTGAGAGAGCTCCCGATATGAGCAAAAAAGCTCAGCAATAGCCCCCCAGGCCGAGTTCAAGCCCCAGTATTGGCATACATACACACAAACCACACACACACACACACAGACACACACACAATTTTAAACAATCCAGTGAGGGCCAGGCCTTTTACAGTTTATTCAGTGAGTGTGTGGTTTGGAGTGGGAAATCATTCACAGTCTTTCTTCTTTCTTGCTGTTTGTTGCCTGTTCTGTACTCTATCTTGTCTCACTCTGGTTTTACCTCCAGACTTGTGGATATGTTCTTACTGTCCTCCCTCCCCTGTACCCCCTGCACTCTTTGAGTAAAGGGCCTTGGAGAAGCCCCAGAATTTGTGGAATCCTGTCTTCCTGTTGCCCTGCTTCCCTGCCTGGCGCTCCCCTTCCCTCAAGCTCAGCAATGCTTGTCGCCACCATCTTTTTAGCTTCTCCTCTTGACATGGATATAGAGAATTAAATTCCAGCATGGACAAGAGAGCCACCTTGGATTCCTCCAATTCTTACCCTTAGGGATGGAGTAAAATTATCAGCTCTTCCTCCAATGCTAAAGGGGGTCCTTTCTCTCATCTCATCACTCTCCCGGGGGTCTCTGGCCAGATGTCACTCCATTCAGAATGCCACCACCTGCTTTAGTAGAGGCCATGTTCCTCCGCCCTTTTCTTATTTTGTTTCGTTTTGTTTTTTAATGCTACTGGTTTGACCTTAGCTCCTTGAGCGCGCTAGGCAGGCAGCTGTTACACCACTGGGCCGTGCCCCTCCCAACCCTTTTTCTTTCATTATTTTCAAATAGGTTCTCATATCCCCCCTCCTTCAACCCTCCTACCTGTGCCTTTTGCATAAGCTGGGGACTACAGGTGTGCACCACCATCCTTGCTCTGCTTATGGAGATGGAACAATTGTGATAACTTCTTTCCCAGGCTGGTTTTAGACTGTTATCCTCCCAATCTCCACCTCTCTGGTAGCTGGGATTACAGACATGTGTCATGGTGTCCAGCCAGCTACATCTTCTACAGAGCAAACATTTTTTTTGTCTCATGTCCACTGTTTTACATGAGATTTATTTCTTACAGCTACTTCACTGATCAGTCATACATCTGTTTAGTCTCTCCCCTGGATGACGAATGTGAGGATTGAGGCATCTGGGGCTTGGCTTAGGGGGTGGAGGGAGAGGAGGTTGAGGGTGGGGGAGTGGCCCCAGCTACCATTCCTTTTCCCTCCAGGTAGGGATAAAAAGATGGGGAAGAGAGGCAGGAAAGTCCATGAGACTCTTATCTCTAATGAAACACCAGAAAACTAGAAGTGGTGCTGTGGCTCCAAATGATAGAGTGCTAGCCTTGCGCACCAAAGCACGGGGAGAGCACGCAGGCTCTGAGTTCAAACCCCATTATCCTCCCCGCCCCGCCCCCAAAGTTGGTGGAGGAAGGAGAAGAGGCATCTGTCTGTCCTCCTGTCCTTCCTCATCTAACTGTGAGCCACCACGGAACAGCCCCGGGCACACTGTGCCCCTCCTTGCCTCTCCCAGGTGGTGGTAGTGGCCAGCTGGGCAGGCTGTGAGCAGCGTGCCTTCTCTGCCGGCAGGGACACGGAGATTGATGACCTGAAGACACAGCTATCACGCATGCAGGAGGACTGGATCGAGGAGGAGTGTCACCGCGTGGAGGCCCAGCTGGCCTTGAAGGAAGCCCGCAAGGAGATCAAACAGCTCAAACAGGTCATCGACACAGTCAAGAACAACCTGATTGACAAGGACAAGGGGCTGCAGAAGTACTTTGTGGACATCAACATCCAGAACAAGAAGCTGGAGACGCTGCTGCATAGTATGGAGGTGGCCCAGAACGGCACGGCCAAGGAGGAGGGCACCGGGGAGTCGGCGGGCGGCTCCCCAGCCCGCTCCCTCACCCGCAGCTCCACCTACACCAAGCTGAGCGACCCAGCCGTCTGTGGCGACCCCCAGCCGGGAGATCCCCCCAGCGCCTCGGCTGAGGATGGAGCCGACAGCGGCTTCGCGGCTGCCGACGACACCCTGAGCCGGACGGACGCCCTGGAGGCCAGCAGCCTACTGTCATCTGGGGTGGACTGTGGCCCTGAGGAGGCCTCGCTGCACAGCTCCTTCAGCCTGGGTGCCCGCTTTCCTGCCAGCAACACCTATGAGAAGCTTCTGTGTGGCATGGAGGCCGGCGTGCAGGCCAGCTGCATGCAGGAGCGGGCCATCCAGACAGACATGGTCCAATACCAGCCTGACCTGCACACCATCCTGGAGAAAGTGAGCCAGGCCCAGGGGTGCGGGAGAGTCCCTGAATGCCGGCAGCCGGATCCCCACCCCCCAGAGCCTAGAGACCCCAACTCGGCAGTGGTGGTGACAGTGGGTGATGAGCTGGAAGCCTCAGAGCCCATCACTCGAGGACCCACTGCCCACCCACAGCCAGGATCCAGCCCCAACCCCGGGCTGTCTGTGAGCGTGGTGTGCCCCATGGAAGAAGAGGATGAGGCCGCTCCCGCCGCAGCCACGGCCGAGAAGGAGCCTAAGAGCTACTGGAGCCGCCACTACATCGTGGATCTGTTGGCCGTGGTGGTGCCAGCGGTGCCCACGGTGGCCTGGCTCTGCCGCTCCCAGCGGCGCCAGGGCCAGCCCATTTACAACATCAGCTCCCTGCTGCGGGGCTGCTGCACCGTGGCCTTGCACTCCATCCGCAGGATCAGCTGCCGCTCTTTGAGCCAGCCGGGCCCCAGCGCAGCGGGCAGCGGCTCCCAGCTCTGAGCAGGCGGGTCTAGGCCAGCACTGACCACTGATTGTAGTGATGCTGTTCGTCCTCCCCTTCGCACAGCGCCATGGGCATCATCATATTTATTTAGTTTGGGGTTTGAATTCATTTTTGCCCCCCTTCTCCCCCGCCCCCGAAGTTAACAGTGTCACGGGCTAGAAGAAGGAGTTGGGAAAGGCACCCCAAAACTCTGGGAGAAAAGAAGGGTGAGGGTAGGTCCCAGGCAAGGAGGCACAGCACCTGGACAAACTGCAGACACACAAGCTGAGCCGGGTCCCCAGCTCGGCCCCTCTGTTCCCCTGGCCCTTCAGACAGACAGGATCTTGCTCAGGGAATCTGGCTGCATTTATCTGGGTCCCTCTACTCTCTGTACCATCTCTGTCCAGTGCCCTCCCCTGCCAGGCCACTGTCTCAAACCACCCCCTTGCCCTCTGCTGTGCTTCTGGGCCAGAATTAGCTCCTCAGATGAAGTCAGCCATTTTCCCCAGGACTCAGAGAAGGGTCTGGAACCTCTGGGCCTGGGTTAGAACTCTGGCCCCACCACATGCCTTCTCCCCACTTGCGATGCAGAAGCATGGCCATGCCCCCCCTCCCCCAAGCTGGAGGAAAAAACATGCTGAGCAGGAGGCGCAGAGAGCAGGGTGGCTTCTGTGTCTGTCTGTCTGTCTGTCCTCCCAGGCTCTCCACATCGTCCGTTTTCTTCTTAGCTTTGGTGTGCCAGCTCAGTCTCCCCTTATTGACCACTAAACCCAAGGCAATCCAGGCTGGGAGCACATGCAGAGCCCCAGCCGCCACGGCTAGCGCCACCGACATGACGGAGGCTGACGCAGCGAGGCCAACACAGCAGAGGCTGGCAGGGAGCTCCAGAGGCCTCTGCCTTGGGAAAGGCGGCCTTCGTCTGCAGTCTGGAAGGTGCCGGACTCAGGAATCCTCGGCTGGTTAAAAAAGCCAGAGGCCGCCACTGTCCCTGGGACTTGCCGGATACCCTCCGGCCTAGACCCCACTTCCGCTTTACCTTGTGTTCACATCCACCTGCAGGACCTCCCCTGGGGTGCCTGCTTGTTTTCTGGGATGAGGGTTCCTAAATCTTCCACCTGTCTGCCCCCCCAGAGGAGGCTGGGGAATCTCCAGGTGGAGTACTGAAGCCATGATGTCTGTCCAGGTGAAAGCAGGGTACCCTGGGCATGCGTTGTGCAAGAAAGGGCGTGGCTGGGTGGGTGGACCCTGTCGCTGCCGCTCCCAGCCCTGGCTGGGTCGGTTCACTGTCTTTTCCTCCCCTGGGATCACATCCGAGTCCCAGCAAAGCTGCTGATGTTTAATGCCTATGACTAGTTTACCAAGTAAGCCCTCTTCCCTCGCGAGGGCCACCCCCCGCCCCAAATCTGGGCAGCACACCTATTTGCCAGAGGTTAGGCCCAATTTGGGATGCTGGAGCCCGGCGTCTCACTCACCCCTCTGGCCTCAGGGCCACTTGAGCTGTCTGCCAAGGTTGCTTGCCCTCCCCCTGCTGCCCCGACGGTCATTGCCTGACTCAGGCTCCATGCTCTCCTCAAGGGGCACTTGCATGCACTGGCAGTGGGCCGCCAGCCCAGCCCCTGGGATGTGAGCTTCCCTGCCACGCACTTTGTGCCTCTAAAGCTCCCCCGCCCCCCACACCTGGACCGGAGCCTCAGACCAGCCATCTTGGGGGGGGAGCACCACCCAGCCCCAGCTGAACCCAGCCCAGATGCCTCTGGGACCTGACTGGGGCTGTGCCACGGAGGGGACAAGGGACAAAATGAATCCAAAGAGGCCAGGATTAGCCACGGACCCAGCCTCCTGTGCCGTGTACTCCTGGGGCTGCAGAGCATCTCCTTAGAAACAGACAAAGCTTTGCTGAGACAATAAATGTATGAACTCTATTTGACCACAGGGCGGGGGGCATCTCTTATCTTTTTCACCAGTGGAATTTAGTCAAGCTCCGCAGCCCTCTGCTCCTGTTCATGTCTTGCTGTCTGTGGCCTTCCTCTTGTGTCTTGTGTTTGGGTGGACATGGACAGGGCTGGGCTCTGCTGTCCCTGTTGTGGGGGCATCATTGTGAAGGCTGTTGGGAAGGTGAGTGAGGCTGGCGGCCATCTACCCTCAGCGCCCGCCCCCCCCCCCAGCCCAAGACCTGTCTGTGTGGTTACCAGGAGTCCCAGCCTACGCCACTGAGGGTCCGGCCTTTAGTGATTCTTTTTGTTTGTTTACTGTCATGGGCCTAAGGACTGGGCGCTGTGCCTGAGCTCTTTTTGCTCAAGGCTAGCGCTGTACCACTTTGAGCCACAGTTCCACTTCCAGTTGTCTGGTGATTAACTGGAGATGAAGAGTCTCACGGACTTTCCTGTCTGGGCTGGCTTTGAATTGTAATCCTCAGATCTCAGCCTCTTGAGTAAGCTAGGATTGCAGGCACGAGCCACCAGCACCTGGCTCTTTGTGGATTCTTGGTGAGGCCTTGGTGGGCTTTCTTATGGCTGGTGAAGAAAGCAGCTCACCCACCAGCCTTGGGACAGGCTCTAGGGCCTCTTGGGTGGGTGATCCTGTCTTGGCTCCTCGGTGTGTGTGTGTGTGTGTGCGTGTGTGTGCGTGTGTGTGTGTGTACATGCTCAGTGTCCCACATCTATGCAAAGAGACAGCACTGCCCCTATGGTTCCCAGTGGTAGGTGCGCAGCAACCTGTTGGCCAGGGCTGCCAACACTGACAAATCAGGGTAGAGAACAAGGGGCTGGCTGGGAAAGGCAAGAACTGGGGCTGGGGCCCTGGCCATCCCCCCAAACTCCCCATTCCCTTCAGCTCAATGCCTCCTCCTGCCCTCAGCTTCTGAAGAAACTTCAGGGGCTCCCTTCTGTCTCTAGCTGGTGCCCACCAGTTTCTGAGGAAGTGTCCCGGGACAGCTTCTTCTCTACTGGTCCCTTGGAGCCCAGTGGCCAGAGTGGTTCTTTCTTAGCTCTGAGGCCAGGACCAGTGACCCTGCTATCTCTCTCATCCAGCCTGAGACAGAACTCAGGGGCTGAGCTCAGCTTCTGTACGAAGAACTGGCCTTGAGTAGAACTTAGGACCCATGTCATAACCTAGCTTTTCACTGAAACACCTTCCCAATCAACACTAGCACAGGGCATCCGACAGCACTTTGGGGCAGAGGGAGGGTGGGATTACACTCAAAGCCTCCTAAGGGGCCTTTCACAACTCCCTCTCCAACCTAGGGGCCATACACATGGGTCACAGCACACTCATATTAGGCCATCATCCCCTTGGCAGAGAATTCAGGGTATGTGGGGAGGGGGGAGGGGAAGGGGTCTTGACTCTCATCTCCTTTGTCCTTTTGTTCACACAGAGTTGTACCTGCCGCAGACAGCTCTGAATTAAAGCATGAACACACAGCAAGCCCCCTTGGCCTCTGTGCTTGTCTCTGTACTGTGTCATTTTTCTAAGTTGGAGTAGGGGAGGAGCTCACACCATCCTTGCCCAGCACAGAAGGAAGTGGCAGGCTGGGTACTGGTTCAGTCCCACAAGGCTCTGCTACATGGTGCTGGGAAAGCGCTGTCCACCTAGGTCAGGTACGGGGTCTAGAATCCTCTCTTCCAAGAGTCCCCCCCCAAGTGTCAGATCCTGCTGGACACCATAAGGACACTGCAGTCCCTTCTTCCTGACAGGCTCTAGCTTCTCAGGCCAGTTTTGCAGCCCGAGTGATTCATACAGGAGACCCCCAAACTAGTGCAATGCTCCTACCAGTCCTCCCCACAGGCTCCCCCCACCCCATATATCATCTCTGTGCAGACTGGCAGGCATGTGACATGTGATCACCTGTGATAGACCCCTGCACACCACTGCTCCCAGAGATGGATTAGGAAAGAAAGGCACCAGGCCTCTCACCACTGTTTAAAAGAAAAGCATGCCAGGCACCGGTGGCTCTTACCTGTAATCCTAGCCATGCAGGAGGCTGAAATCTCAGGATCAAAAGCCAGCCTAGGCAGGAAAGTCTGTGAGATTCTTATCTCCAATTAATCACCCCCCCAAAAAAAAGAGCTGGAAATGGATCTGTGGCTCAAGTGGTAGAGCACTATCCTTGAGCAAAAGAAGCACAAGGACAGCACCCAGGTCCTGAGTTCAAGCCCCAAGACTGGCACCAAAGCAGGGGGCGGAGCCGGGGGTAGAGAAGCAGCTCTACTGCATGTCACAGGACTGAGAATTCTAGAACTTTTCAATAGCTTTGGGAACAGAATGATATTTAAGATCTTCATTTAAAATACAGTAAAGGGTTCGAATTGTATATATGCAGTCTGTGATGAAGAGTGATAAAAGGAAAATTTAAATATTCTCACAAAGAACATAACTTCTGCTCTCCCAAATCCTGTAGCTGCTTTTCCTGGTAGAGGTAGAATTTTGAAAGGGACCCAGCCACAACTCTGACAAGAGTGTTGGGCAGGCCCACCTGCATGTTCTGCATGTAAACAGCTCAGAGAATGGCTCCTTGGGAACACTGCCCTGCCCTTGCCTGCGCCCAGCTAGGATGTCAAGGCCCCAAGGACAGAATCATGCCATCTGATGTCCACCCGCCTGGAACACTACTGCCCCCCACTCCAAACCCTGGATCTCTGGCAGCAGGCCAGCCGCAAGCTGTCGTCTGAGGACAGCTGCCCTTCCCTGCAAGCAGGAGGGAGACCCAAGATGTCCTCTAGTGGCCTCAGACATCTGGGATGGAATGGTCCATGGTGTGGTGGAGCAGCGTTGGGGACAGCCTAGATGGGAGAATGGAGACAGTGGCGTGAAACTGGTAGCCCCTTCTCCCGCTTGTCTCCCCACCCCAGAGCAGGTACAACCCAGGGGATTATCTTCGCCTCTTACTTCTAAGTAGTCCTTGAAGCCACCTTGGGAGGAGGGGCAGGGTTGGAGGGAGGGGCAGGTGGGCGCCAAGGTGCTGGGAGGAGGGGAAGGTAGAGTGGGGGTGCAGTCTTACTTTTTGACCATGTGCTCGAAGATCACTGTGGGAATAATGGTCAGGGTGATGACATCTCCAGCTGTGGTCAGAATCTCTGTGACCTTTTTGTCCTACAAAGAAG